AGAAAGTTCTGACTACTCTTACCTCTTCATAATCAGCATATGCAAAATAAAGAAGCATATTCTTCTTCAATAAAGTGCTTATGGCTCTTTCATATATATTAGCAGCTTCATCACTAAACAATTTGGCATTATTCATATCCTAGAAGAAAAGAAAAATCATCCTCAATAATTTTAGTATAGTTGAAAGAATAAAATAATCTATGTATATGAGATATTATATATATGAGAAAACACAGACATCTATACACATACATACTCAGGATGTTAAAAAAAAAAGTTGCAAACACTTCTTCCTTTTTTGGGTATTAGGAATTAAACCCCTGGCCTTTACCACTGAACTGCACTTTTAGCCCTCATTATTTTAACTTTCAGAAAAATCATGTAAGTACTTTAGATGATTCATTAATATTTTTAGGTTTTGTTTTTTAGTTTTTGGTTTTTGGCCAGTTCTAGGGCTTGAACTCAGGGACTAGGCACTGTCCCTGAGCTTCATTTTGCTCAAGGCTAGCTAGCACTCTACCACTTGAGCCACAGCGCCACTTCTGGCCTTTTCTGTTTATGTGGTACTGAGGAATCAAACCCAGGGCTTCATGCATGCTAGGCAAGCACTCTACTAAGTCATATTTCTAGCCCCAATTTTTTAAAAACAAAACAGCTATTTTGCTGGGTACTGGTGGCTTACACCTGTAATTCTAGCAACTCAGGAAGCTGAGATCTGAAGATTGTGGATAAAGCCAGCTCCAATAAACTTAGCTCCAATAAACTACTCAGAAAAGGGCAGAAGTAGTACTATGGCTCAAGTGGTAAAGCACTAGCCTTGAGTACAGAAAGACTCAGGGACAGGGCCCAGGCCCTATGTTCAAGCCCCAAGACTGGAAAAACAACAACAACAACAACAGGTATTATAATTCTAATCATGTAAGTCTTTTTTTTTGTGGGGGGCGGGGAGTCCGGTTGTGGGGCCTGAACTCTGGGCCTGGGCGCTGTCCCTCAGCTCTTCAGCTCAAGGCTAGC